CTGGTCCATCTCTCCCGGACTTACCCTATTACAACATATATTTAATAGATAATTCTCAAATTCAATCTATTTTAATACCTGGGATATAAGGGTACCAGAATTTGGTGGTACTTAAAAGGATACTCTCCGTCGGGAAACTAAGGGTAAAGTAATGTAGCGTTTCGCATCTTGCCGGTAGAATTGAAAAGTTTTTCCCATCGTTTCTATGAGTACGTCTATTGTTGTTAACTTTACTTTAATTTACTAATGCTAATTCTAAAGTTTCGTAGTATTGTAGTCTGGCGCAATTATTCCGTCTACATTATACGAAAAACTTGTCATAATTGCAAGTTAATGTTATACTGTAATGATTCCTTTCTAGTCTTGCAATAGTTCCACGTTATAACATAGTGCCCCAATCATAATTCTTTTAAGTTTGATATGATATGCTTATTTATGCCTTCGTCATTGGCCAAGCGTTCGTTAAAAATTACACTAACTGCTACTCCGGTATCCATTATTAGTCGTTTGTACACAATGAAGTCGCCACTTTTGTCGATTGCTGGCAACTTCCCTCCATCTTCTAACCCTTAGAATCTGTAGATCTTCTTTAACATTATCAATCCATCTCATTCGTGGCCGTTTACTACTTCTTGTGCCCCATGGTTTTGAAAATGTTAATCTCTTATGTATTCGTGATCTGACATCCTAGCAATGTGTCTAGCCCATATAAGTCTCTGCACTTTAACGAATTTCACAATACCTGGATCGGTGTCTTCTTCTTCTTCTTCTGGTGCCTATCTGTTACGGATGTTGGCAACTAGCATGGCAATTATAACTTTATTGACCGCAGCTCGAAATAGTCCTGAAGTGGTCAAGGTCATTTTCGTAAATTCGCGAGCCATGATATTCTTATTCTTTCTGGTCCCTCTTTCCGTAGATCTTTTTCTGTAATATAAGTGGCAGCAGGTTATATCTAGGGTCGTTTCGCATTATATGTCCAAGATATTTTAGCTTACGCTGTTTTGCTGTGGATATAATTTCACATGTCTTATCCATCCGACGTAGAACCTCAATGTTTGTTACTCGGTCCACCCAGGAGATCCTCAGTATCCATCTATAACACCACATCTCAAACACCTCGAGTTTTCCCATGGATGCCTCAGTTAGTGTCCATGATTCAACCCCATAGAGTAGCAGTGTAAACACGTAGCATCTTAATAAATGGATTTATGGATCGGTGTATAACTGGTATAGTTCAAAGTTGTATCTTCGACGCCATAGCCCATTTTCATTTACGGCCTCAAAAATCTTTCTAAAGTCTTTGAGCTTTACTGCACGTTTTATATATATATTTTATTTTTTAAATGCTTCTGGATACCGTAAACAGTTCTGTTTGCTATTGCTATGCGTCTTTTGATTTCGTCGCTTGTCGTATTTGTTACGTTTACTAGAGATCCACGATATGTAAATTCCTTAACTTGCTCAAAGGTATGGTTGTAAATTTAAATTATTTGTTCGATATTTCGAGGGGTTTAAGAAACCAACATATATCTGGTTTTTTCTTCTTTTACCACAAGTCCTAATTCACTTGCTGCGTCCACAAGCTTTGTAAAACACTGCACCATATATCTCATACGTCTGCCTACTATAAATATATCGTCAGCGAATGCGAGAATTTGCGTCGATCTGTTAAAAATAGTTCCATTCATTCTAATATTTACTTGTCTGATAGCCTTTTCCCAGGCAATATTAAAGAGCAGATACGCTAACGCGTACCCCTGTCTTAGACCATTAATAATGTCAAAGAACGTAGAGTTTTCTCCTTCAATTTTAACGCATGAGATTACGTTTTACATTGTTAGTTGGGTCAACTTAACTAACTTAGGTGGGATCCTAAAGTCTATCATTGCATTATATAATGCAGTTCTTTTCACACTGTCATAGGCTATTTTGAAGTCAATGAAGTGATGGTGTGTATCTATGTTATAATCTAGTGACTTTTCTAGAATCTTTTATGTGCTTGAATTTGATGTGTAGTTGACTTTCCAGCAGTAAATCCGCATTAATATTGACCAACAATATTCTTTGTAAAATATTTAAGTCTTTCAAATAATACATTGCCGAAGATTTTATACGCAGATGTTAACAGAGTAACAGAGTAATGCCTCTATATTTCTTACACTCCAGTTGATCACTCTTTTTATGCAACGGACATATTCTTCTCTTTAGCCACTCTTCTGGAGGACCTTTAAGCTAGGGGGACATATGAGAGAAATCCAATTTAACCTATGTAATATTTTTTCACCCATTTTTCACTAATTTATTACCACCCTAATAATTTTTCACCACCAAACCAATCCTCAGGAGAGCGATTCTGCTGGCTTAAGGTTCAAGCTAGCAGTTAGTTAAGTGTTAAGTTTTTACTAAACTTTAACCGCCCTGTTAATTTTTCATCCCTAAACCAGTCTTATTCGGAAACGTTCCTGCTAGTTTAATATTTTAATAATTTAATATTTTAGGATCTAATTATTTTAAGTAGGTGTATTCAAATGAGACGGAAATTACCGGTTGGTTAAAAGAACTGGTAAATAAATTTTTATTAACAGCATTCTAAAAACTTAAAGATATTTGTATTTTATTTCTTTGTCGATTTTTTATTCATTGTCAGTTGAATATAGGTAAAAATTAAAGGGTATTACAAAAAAATATTAACCTCATTATTTTGTTTATGGAAATGTTTGAAAGAATCGTCCAAGGAGAGATCTGGTTTCTCGTGACAATCCACACACTTATAAATTGGGTTTTTTCTTATTTTTAGGATAGGACATACTCTGCATATTTTCGTTTTAGTTTCGCTTTTGTCCGATTTATTAGCAATTTTTTATAGGTAAATGTTCGCGAGCGATATTCCGTCTTTCTTTTCTTTTTTATAAATTAATTTACGCATTAATTCTAACCTTGATACCGTCTTTTATGCCTTTGTTGTTTAATATATTGTTTAAAGCTAAGTCAAACTTTCCACAGCACCATCGATTCATCAAGTGATAATTCTTTTACTGGATAATCCTGAGTAGTCATTTTGAGTATATGACTGTTGTTATTCTATAAAACCGATCTACACGAATAACATTAGGTCTTATTGGATTATGGATGAAGTGTAAGCACCTTAAAATTAAAAGAAAAAGATCTCTGCCGAAGTTCTGCAAAAGATATTTTAAGTTGAATAGTGGATCTGTTTTCCAATAACCCTCCAATCTTGAAATCCATATGTGTCAGTGTGAAAGATAATTTCCAAAAATACTAGAAATTCAAATAAGGAAAGTAATTTACATCCACATTGCCTATTTTTTAACAAAATTTTCCAACTTACCATACTAGGGTTGTAATAAATTCGTAAAAACCTAGCAGAACACTGTAACTTGAACCGTAAGCCTGCAGAATCGCTCCCCTTAAGGGTGGTTTAATGGTGAAAAAATATTAGGGTAGTAAAAAATTAGTGAAAAATGGTTGAAAACATATGCCATCAACAAAAAGTTTTTTTTTGAATTCTGCTAGCTTGAACCATAAGCCAGCAGAATCGCTCTCATTAAGGTTGGTTTGGTGGTGAAAAATTATTAGGGTGGTAATAAATTAGTGAAAAATATATGAAAAAATATGCCATCCACAAAAAATTTTTTTTTTTAAATTCTGCTAGTTTGAACGGTAAGCTAGCCGAATCGCTCCCCTTAAGGTTGGTTTGGTGGTAAAAAATTATTAGGGTGGTAATAAATTAGTGAAAAATGTCCTCGCTAGCTTAAGGGTCCTCTCTTCTGGTACCCATTCATTCTGCCATATAAGTACAATTAGTTTATGGATTGCTGCAAAAAGTTGATCACCACCTTTTTTATACATTTTCAAACAGATTTCATCGATTCCTGGGGTTTTAGTTTTAAGGTCTTATCTTTGTCTTTTAAGATCTCATTTGACACTTCTTCTCTTGTTGGGTCTCACTGTGTGTTGTAGATTTTGTTAATTTTTTATGTTGTAACCTCCATCAATATCGTTTATATTTAGATGTTCGCTAAAATATTGTGCCCATCTGTTAAGAACTGAGTTTTTATCACGTAGAAGTTCACCGTTAGTGTCTTTTCAAATTTTTAATCGTAGTTTATATTCTCGACGGCTAGTATTTAAGGATTTGTAGTATTTCCTCGTTTCATTTTTATCGAATAAACTTTGTATCTTGCTGAGAGTGTTTTATTTCAACGGATTTCTGTAACACAATATCTCGTATATTTGCCCATAGTTGGTTAATATTTTCTTCTTCTTCTAAGTTTTTTGTCCTTATTTGATCTTCTATTTGCTGTCTGTATACATTTGCAATGTCAGGATCTTTTAGTTTATTAATGTCGATTTTTTTCCCTCCTTCTCCCGATCTCCTTTTTTAAATTGGATATACTTTCTTTAAATCGTGCTTTAACTAGATAATGATCACTATCTATGTTTGCTCCTTTAAAATACCTAACATCTAATAAGTTAGAGCTGTGTCTTGCATCGATATTTATTTATGATCTATTTGGTTAATTGTTTCATTATCAGGATATTTCCAAGCTCCCTTATGTATATATTTTTGGGAAAATCGTGTCCCAGCTATTACCATGTTCTTAGACATCGCAAAGTTTATGATTCTGAGACTGTTATCATTAGAGCCTACGTGTAGGCTCTTTTTTCCGATGGTAGGCGAAAATATATTCGCTCTTCCGACTTTGGCATTAAAGTCTCCTGCTATTATTTTGATATCTTTTTTGGGCACTTATCGTACTCTCAGTCTAGTGCCTCATAGAACATGTCTTTTTCATTATCCTTTTTTTCTTCCGTTGGAGTATAGATACTAATAATTCTAATATTAGCGAACTTCACTTTAAGTCATATTCGACATATTCTATAATCGATAGCTTTGAAATATGCTGTTATATAATTCAATCCATTTATTTTGACATTTATTACTTGTCCATTTCATTTTATGTTTTACTGTTAAGAATAAACTAAATAAAAAACTTATATCAATACTTTTCAGAGCTTTTGAACCAAGTAACAGATACTACGAATCAAATCTTCCCGACTACCGTTCAAAACATCAAAACTTTAGCAAACCAGAAAGAAAAGAGAGCAAAGAGTCACGATTTGGTATTATTCCTATATCAACAACTTCTTATGGGTCTAATGGAAATGGCGTACAATACGGAACTGGAAATGTTGGCTATACAATCAGTCCTATGAAAATTGATATTGGAGGAGTGGCTCTTGGAGCAATCCTAGGGCTTGGACTTGTTCTGATTATACCCAAGATAGCAAATATTGTAGGAGGTGGAGGGGGATATGGTGGATATAGAAGTAAGTGCAAATAAATCAATTCTTATAAGTCTTTCGGAACTAATAATTATTGACTTGCTTTTATTTTATTTAATTACTTTTATCAACCAATTTCTATATTCGTTTTTTAATTCGAAATTTCATAGAAAAATAACAGTTTCACTATCTTTGTGTTTTTTAATGATCCTTTTTTATTGATCCTTTTTTAATGATCCGATAAGTACTTAGCCTCATCGCTCGATGGCGCCACTATCTCAGGAGAAATCTACTATTGTGTAATCAATTCTCGTAGACAGCTAATGTCAAAATTTCAGACGATACCTATTATTCTTTTTACTACTGAAATCATTCCGAAGAACCTCCTAGAAAATATAATAAAGCTGGGTTTAAATGAAAATTTATATAAGACTATGCACAAAGCTGTTTGCTACTCTCGACGTCCAGTTGCGTATGAAAATTTTTGGGCAAGCACCGACATATCAAGTGACCTAGGACTCGATAACATGAAACGAGTCCCACCAAAGCTCAATCCTTTTGATACTGTTGGTGTCTGGGATGAGTGAATTTTTCCCTTAGAGGGAGTATGAGCCATATGGGTAAATCCAGGCATAATAATAATATACAATTGAGTGTGCATGATACTAAAAATTTTTATCCTTCTGTTTCTTCTTAGTCGTTTGTCATTTATCCAAAAATGTACCTGATATTCTCTTATATTCCCTTTATAGTCAGATCCACAAAAAAAGCCTACTCACTATGAATTGAATTAATTTTCCCACTAAAGGCAATAACCATTTTTAGGTCTGGAAACAGAAATGTCATCCGTAACAGATGTACTTGCTAGAATTGACAACTCCCTCGAACAACATAATATAGATAGTTCATCTTGTATTCAAAGAACTATATGTTCGTACGTAAATAGTGCACAAAAAAATATTAAAAATGGAGAAGCGACAGGTGTGGATGAATTTATTACATCTTTAACTAAGTAAGTAATAATTTATAACTTTTCTTTTGACAATTTTAGAATTTAGCATTTTCCTTATTTTAAGATTATATTTGTTTCAAGTATTTCTGTTTTGTAAGAAAGATGCATAAACAAAAAACATACGGGACGATTAAGAGAACACAAAATCAAAACAATTGCTATATAAATATGTATATCCGGTAGAACCAATAAATACAATAAAAAACTATACTCGTTTAATACGTTAACTGTCCTACGACTCATATATATATATATATATATATATATATATATATATATATATATATATATATATATATATATATAGGTCATAAGCTCATTTATCTATAAGTCCTGCGGATCATCTGTGGGTTGCGGTTGCAAACGCATGGTTTAGTCTATCCCAATATACTTTATGGTGTCGAGTCCTGGACTGTGAATAAAATCGATCTAAATCGCCCTGAGGTTTTCGAAATGTGGTGCTATAGAAGAATTTTAAAAGTTTCCTGGGTGGAGAAGATTCGAAACTCCACAATACTAGAACGTCTCAGCAAGACTACTGAGATTATAAAAAGCATAGAGCAGAGAAAGCTGGAGTATTTCGGACATATAATGAGAGGTCCCCAATACAGGTTGCTACAAAATATCATGAAAAGAGAAATAGCAGGCGAACGCAATCCAGAACGAAGAAGAACCTCGTGGTTGAAGAACTTGCAAGATTAGTATGGTGTTGTTACAAGCATGCTATTTAGGGTGACGGTGAATAAAATTAAGATTGCTATGTTGGTAACTAACGTTCTGAAAGGACATGGTACATGAAGAAGAAGAATATTAAAGAGGATCTGTCAGTAAATTTATGTTTACTGGTTCTAATTGCGGCATCACATTTCGCTACATGTTATGCAGTTTCGCTATATTCGTCCAAATATTTGTTATTCGTCAGCAAATAAGAAATATGCTACTTCACACTTGTACCGGCGAGCCAAACACGCCAAATATTTGCGTCAAGCGTGTTTGGCAGAATGAAAAAGGACGTGGACGTATTAACAGTCGCTGCAACTTATTGTTACTTAAATGAAGTTTACCAATACTTTTTGTGTCATGTCATCAAGGCTGCATCTAGTATAAATCCAGAAATCTCATGACGACTATGCCCTTTACACTTTGTCTTAGCGGCCGAATATACATATAGCGAACTGTGGTGCCGCCATCCGGACTTCACGTATACAGTCATCACCAAATTATCGTAGAATTTATTATCTGCATGTCATTATGAAGCCGTTTGTATTAGATGGGAGTATTAACAAAAGTAGGTATCAGATATAACCATAAATAAATGGCCCTTGGTTTTGGTCTATTTGTTTATGGTAGATACTTTTTGAAACTTACCGACACAACTCAAATACAAATGATTTTAATAACCTTAGTACAAGGTTTTCTGCAATAATTTGTTGGAAACACTGAAGATCTTAAAATTGTTTTATTAAACTGTTTGTTCGGGCTGTTAGGCCGTTGTCTTCTGAGATTAGTTCTCGACGTTTCGCCAACACTAGGGGTTGGCATCTTCTGGGGATGTTACTGCTTCACTTGTAAGCTGAAACTGTGTGAACTTTGGTAAGTGTTGGGTAGACTAACACTTGGTATACATGGTTAAACCGAAACAATAAGGAAGTCCATTTTTATTTTTATTTAAATTTTGATTTTTTAAAATGCCACTAATTAGACACATCAACTTAAGTCATGGAACTTACAAAGCTGCAAATCAAAAAATATACGAGCAAGTCAAACTGACGGGTAAACTGAAGCATAAAATGAGGTTTATTGGAATCGATAGAATTTTTTTTTATTATTGAGTTAATGCCTTGACAACTAGGATCATTGGCATGGTACAGTTAGGTACCTAGTGTAGTGTGTGTGTAGAGTAATTGTCTTAATACTTAGCAGTCTAAGTCGACGTCATTATCTTTGCTAAGAGACGCTAATTATATCCGAACGTCTGCGGTCCCTCCGGTGAGTACCGATCGCACAAGGATAGAAAATATTTTCATTTATTAATTTTTAATAAACGAAAATTTCTTCACCCAGATGAGATTCGAACTCACGACCTTTAGGTTTAAAGGTAGGCGCTCTTACCACTAAGTCACAGAGGGGGTTAATCGATAGAATTGAAATCAATAACGTAGAAATATCTTTATGTGTCCATATTGTAAGGCAATTTAGTTTAATGATAAAACCTCTGAACTGTGTTTCGTCAGTAGCCAATTGACGCCATATATTAGTTTGATGATGCGGGCCAGATTTCATAAGTAATTTATTATTATAGTAAATATAAGTTTAATTATTAAAGATCTGTGATCAGTTTTAAATTTATTCCTTAAATTTTAGTATGTAAGCTTAGACTAATCGGTTTCTGTTCTAGCAACACACTTTTGTCATATATGTTGGATGGTACAGCTGTGAAGGAAGCCGCTGAAACAGGAAAAGCAAACGATGAAGGGCAATGCAATAATAAATATCCAAAATGTCCTTTAACAAAAGACAACGTGTTAAAAGTTCTTGGAAGTTTGATACCAGCTTAAATTTATTGCTTCTACATATTTCTATTTAATAGTATTAAGTTATTTCAGACCGTGATTTGTATTATTTTAAATGTGTAAATATATTTTTATAGAAAAAAGTGTATTTAAAATAAAAATAAACTGAAAAATGAACTAATGATAAATCTATATCTCTGTTATTGCTGAGAATGGGTTTGGGTGATACGTTTGAGTAGAGTAAACGTAGTGGAACGTGGAGATCTCCAGATGGGGTTACAGTAAACATGATCGATCATGTTATTATTGACTCCAGATATCACTCAGACATAATAAACGTATGCAGTAGACGGGGGTAAATGCAGACTCGGATCACTACCTAGTGGAAAGTAGAATAAGCCAGAATCCCAAACATTAAAAAAGAAAAGGGATTCAAAATTGAAAAATATGAAATAAACGACTAACAACATCAAAAAGGCAATGTTACAGGTCTAAAGAATTCAGAATAAATTATTGAAATAAAGTTTTATTATTTTATTTTTGGCTAAATAATTGTTAACAACTCCACAAGATTTCATAAAAAAATGAATGCATTCCCAAGTCTTATTTAGTCTCTGAGATGATCTATTTGTTCTTTCCTTGATTTTGTACAGCCTAAAACAAAAATAAGTATAAATTTAAATGAATAATAAACTTTGAATTAAAAATAAACAAACCATAAAACCTATTTCTTATTTTAAAGGTTAATGTCAAAAATAGCTTGATAGAATTCTTCTTCTTGTAATTTTAAATAGATCTCAATCCTATTAGTAGTACAACAACTTATTTTAAATAAATTCTTACTGGACAATGGCCGGCGCCAGATTAAAAAAACTTATCTTTAATTTTTTTCTTTTCCTTTCTTTGGTGGTCTTTTGTATGAAAAAGTATTGGTTCGTGTAGAACTTACAACGCAATTTTGCGGCTTTTCTAAAGTTTTCTTGATAGTTTTCCGAAAATTTAAAAGTTGTAGCAGTGAGAAGCTGAGCAATTATCACCTATCGTGTGGATTTGTTTTCTAAAACTAAAAGAAACTCGATTTTATAAACTGATTTCGTATTAGAAACACTTTAAGGCCACATTTGAACAAAGGTAGGTTTTCTTTTGGAAAAATAAATAACTACTTACGTTTTAAACATAACATTTTTTTAGGCCTTTTTATTTTACTCTGTGATTTAATCTCAAACCATTTTGATCATCTTTTCAACTAATATTTATCATCTCGTGACTCCTTAAGGGATTGGCTATCAGTTTTCCATATTAGTTAGGATCGGATGATATCCAATTGTCCATAAGAGAGAAAGAACCTAAAACATCGGATTATTAAAGGAAATAACAATAATAAATATTAAGTACTCACCTGGGATCGAGTCTCCAGAACTCAAGAAGATAGACTTTCTAACAGCTAAGTGGAAATTTATTCTTAATTTTGGTAGAATCGAACATTACACTAAGTTTCTCAATTTTCTTAGTACGACACTGTAATTAGAACCCCACTGCAGTGGTTATAAGAACTTGTTAATTAACCTTTTCACTTTATTGTTCAACTATTGATTTTAAATTGATTTTGAAAAGAAAATCTTTAATAAATACAAAAGTAACAATCGAAGAATTTATTGATTTATTGATAATCATTCTTTTACCCACTTCCCTGAGGGCTCTCCGAAAGAGCGTTTACAATCTCATATAACAGCAATACACAAAGAATATATAAAAGGAAAACTATAAAACAGACAAAAGCAGTGGGATATAAACAGAGAATGGGAAACGTGAAAACATCATACAAGACGCGACCAAAGAGACCCTGGGTCTACAAAACAATCAACCAGGGTCAAATCAACTAAAGGACAGTTGTTCCTAAACAGAGAGGAAAAATAATGCATATAAACGACTACAACAACGACATAGAACACGAAAGGCAAAGTAAGAATATAGAATGCTAAGGAGGGAAGAGCAGAAAATATATCGCAGAAAAAAAATAAAACACATAGAAAAAAACTGCAAGAAATGGAAGAACTAAATAAACCAATAAAAACCAGAAAATTTTACCTACAACTTAACAAAAGTAGAAAAGAATTTAAATCAAGGACAATAATGTGCAGAGACAAAGAAGAAGATATAGTAACTCAACAGAGTGAAATACTACAAAGATGGACAGAATTCTTCAAAGAAAAGTTTGAAATAACGCAGATCTACTACATGATAGAATTATACTGGATCAAACGGATACCAGAAAAACAACCCTCCTTCAGTAGCAGAAATGCAAGAAGCAGTTACCAGACTGAAAAACAACAAGGCACCTGGATTAGACAACGATTAGACAACATTAGCGCAGAATTAATAAAGGAAGGCGGAGACTCCCTATTGAATGCGATACACGAACTAATAGTGAACATATGGAATAATAAACAACTGTCTTAAGACTGGAATACCGGAGTAATTATCCCACTGCATAAAAAGGGAGATCAGCTTCAATGTAAAAACTACCGAGCAATAACGCTACTAACTGTGGCATATAAAATACTGTCTGAGTCGGTTGAGGATGTTTAAACGCCTGACGGAACTAAAGTAACATCCAAATAATAGCGTCCATCATTGTTATGCTAGCTCACATACTTACACTGGGCTATTTGTAGCAAATCGCCTCTCGAAAGCTGACGAAGCCTGGTCGTTAACGAAAACATCCAATAACAAAATTTTAGCGCAATATACTAGTTCTGAAGTTGGATGTAGACGTAAAACCAGCTTGTAGGAACAATAGTGACTAGAGACTCGGTCCTTATCACACTTAGATAAAAAAAACACAAACACTACACTCTGGAAAGAACATCACATCTAGTCAGAACCTTTCCCCTCTGATTAAACTTGGCGACTCCATCTCAACAGTCTCCAAGCTGCTTGCCAACAACTTGCGACAGTGCCTTTTTCGGTGCTGTTTTGCCTTGTACAGTGCTTACCAAAACATTTAAAACAAACCTGAAGGATAGCAGGGTCCTAAGCGGGGACTTCATGTTCAATCTTATTCGTAATAAAGAATTCTATCCTAATCCACAAATAAACAGTGAAGCTAAAATTCAATCGAAGGTATATCTATTAATAGAGAAGTTTAAAATGGTTTGCATTTTGCAGACGATACAGTAATAATGAGGTATAAGAACAATTGTTTACAGAACGTAATGCAACGTCTTAATGAATGCTGTCATGAATACGGACTAAAGATGAATTAAAAAAAAACACTAAATGCACGATGATGACTAAATCAGCAGATGCAAGCATCCAATTGATTGTTAAACATACTATAATTGAGAATGTGGATACCTACAAATACTTAGTAACAGGGATAACATTAAATAAGGACCAAACCAAAGAAATTAAGACGGCAGAAAAACATTGAAATGCATTTTACCAGTTATCACATATGGCTCACAAACATGGACTTTCACAAAGAGCAATGGAAAGACAGATGCTGGGTATCGGTCTTAAAGACAGGAAAAGAAACTCATGGATCAGAGAAAAAACAAAGGTGAACGATGTATATCTAAAGACAGGTTGCAAAACTTAAATGGAACTTCGCCGGTCACACTCTCCGGCAAAAAGATGAAAGATGGAATAAGCTAATTCTACACTGGAGACCATGAGAAAAGAAAAGAAAAAGAGGAAATCCACAGATAAGATGGACTGATCACTGTCATCAGATCCAAACTAGCCGTTTGGATCGGATGACAGTGTTAAAGATCCACCCTATATTAAATCGTCATCAGATTCTGATGATATTGATTCAAGTAGAGAAGTAGAAAATATTAGGCTGTCAAAAAACAGAAAATTACTTGATCCGTCCAAAATAGAAAAAAAAAAGAAAAAAGACGATTGAGAAATGCAGGCTTATGACAAAAAAATTAGCAAAACAGATGAGAAATAGCGGCAAAAGTCATGTTGGCTTGATAAGTGTAAAAACTGAAAATGGTAGTCAGAAAAAAATTAAAGAAAAACGCAAAAAATGCCTTAACCACCATGTGGTGAAAAGTGTAAACTACAATGTTCTCAAAAAATAGATGAACAGCAGCGATTAAACATTTTCAATGACTACTGGGGATTACAAGATTTAGAGAAACAAAGGCATTATATTTCATCGAATATGCAAAGTGTAAACCCAAGGTACAAATACAGAAATGCAGCTAATCCAAGAAATCCTAATAATGCATACTCTTTTATCATCGATAATAAAACTATACGTGTAGGCAAATATTTTTTTTAGCTACACAGTCAATCAATAATAGATTCATTCAAACCGTTTTGAAGAAGCAAAAAGTTTGCGAAAGTGGAAAAATTGTTGAAACTGATAAGCGCGGTAAACACAACCACTATAAAGTAGACGAAGAAATAAAAAGTGAAATAAGAAGCCACATAAATTAGATACCTAGAATAGATAGTCATTACTGTTGATCGCATACTTCCAAACAATATATTGAAGGAAGCAAAACTCTTGCAGATCTACATCGTGACTATCTTAAAAGTTGTAAAAACAACGACCAGCGACAAACTATTACATGTACAGAAAAATTTTTGAATAGGAATTTAACATTGCCTTTTATACACCTAAAAACGATCAATACGACCTTTGTTTACAATTTAAAAATTCCTCTATTATTGAACAGCAAAATATCTTAGAAAAATAACAGAAACATTTGAAAGAAAAGAATTTACGTAGCAAAGAAAAAGACAATTAATTACTATTTGACTGGGAATAAGCTACAATTAAAGGTAAAAATACGTTAATTGACGTTTCAATTTCCACTTCGGAAATCGTTCTCAAAATACAAACAGTAAATTAAACAAATTTTGTTTTTTGTTACTTAGTGAAAAATTCTTCTAATAATTTAATTTTATCTGACTCATTTATATTAAGTTGCGCTCCTGGGACGACTTTACTTATAAGATAGTTCATTCGATTACATGAAATCAACTTTAACTTGAGAATATCCGTCAGAAAAAATCATAGCATGTAATTCGTCTTTAAAAAGACAAACACATGTCGCACCCTCAGTGCAAGACTGCAGTAACTCAAAATTTTATAAAAATAAAGTAATCATAGAATTCGATTGTAAACATGCATATCTATCCCCTGTAAAACTTTAGTAACTTTCAAATGCTTAACCGGCTAAATATCACAACAGCAACAGTTTAACTATTTTGTGTTTTTGTACATAAGTTTCGTGCAAAACTGTTGTAACTCTAATACAACAGCGTTACAACAGTTTTGCACGGAACATTGCAATGGTTTTGATAACAAGCAATGAAAGGCGCGAAAAAAGTAAGATATTTGTTATGTTAATATCTATATCTGTGGAGTTTAATTTTAATATACAGCGTCTCTACGTAATCCATTAACGGCCGAGACAATAAACAAAGATTTACGAGACCAATCTATTTATGAAAGTATTATGTCCTTTGTGTGACATTAAATTTTCCATAAAAGGTGTTCGATGTCGTTTGACCATTTATTTATTGGATTTGATTAAAAACACATAAATTAAGACTAATTATTTACAGCCAAAAAGTAGTTTTTCTTATAAAAGGAAAAACGATTATCTTAAAACTTGCGTATTAACAATACTGACAGGTTAAAAATATCTATTCTCAGAAAAATTATTCTATAAAACAATTGTTGTAATTGTTGTAACAAAAGTTATAATTCCCAACTTTTACTAAGGTAGTGAATTTCAATCCTTTTGTTAATCACTGTACTCAAGGTAGCCTGATTTGCATATTTTTGTTATAGTCCTTTTGTTTTGAATTTAAATAAAAATATTGAAAGTTTTACAAATAATTTTTCTACCTTGTCATTACAAAGCGAAGGAATTGTGACTATTAGAAACATGTGCAGAGATAAAAAGATTAAATTGCCGCTAGCGATAAGCCATTTTATTAGGTACCTATTTATTCTAGGTAGCTATCTGATTTCTTGGAATCTATTAAATGCAAAGTCTAATACCATACTAAACACCGATTGCTGTTAGGGATTATTTTTTCTTTACTTACCCGATGATTTATTGGAATTTATTCAACGTGTATGCCAAACCCTGGAAATTACTTTCTCTTTATCTAACAGGGGATTTCTGGGAATCCATTAAATGTAATATTTAGTACTATTCCTATCGTTGTTGAAGATTACTTTCTCTTTACCTGCCCTGATTAACTCATTAGAAATGAGTTCTCAGGAAAGAAGTACGAATAGGTACATTTTAGTAGTGTAGTTTATAAAATAATTTATTATTAGCCCTTGCAAGTGATAGATGCAGAACTAACGATTTCGAAAATGTCAGAATTTAATAGTTCCAGAATATTGAGGATTTTATCCCTGTGTATGCAGACAAGTGAGGATAGCAACGGCATGCAGAGTAAGTTGAATTTAAATTAATTGTTGTATTATAATGTACGAGAAGTGCTACTTAAACCTGCCTACAAAGAACAGCCAAAAATTCAAATGGCCAAAAATAAAGATTTGGTATACTTATGCCTTTCGGGTATGATACCAGAAGCTCACCATAGTTTTTATAAAAATATTTTGGCCCAAGGTGATATACGAAAAGAGGGCGACAACTAACAAAAAATGTATCTACACTTTTTACACTTTTCTCCGTGCAAAAGTGTTGTAACTTTAAAATTCTAATACTAAATGTGTAGTGATTAACAATTTTCTGCGTGCAAAAGTGTTGCAACTTTGAAATTCCTAATATTTTAAGCAATAATATTATTTTATTTAAATTTTTATTTTTAGTTAATGTAATATAGGCTGAAAAGAATGCAAGACCATAATTAAATGTTAATTTTTCTTAAAACGTGTGTCTTATTTTACCGATATTAGCACGAAAATAAACAAAATCGTCTGTATCTCGAAACTTACTTATTCTGACTTACTGCAGTCTTACACTGAGGGTGCGATGTCGTTATGAAAGTAAAATTCTCCTGTTAGTGATTCCATAGTAAATTGAGGGAAAACCCAGGAAAAAAGCCTCATAATACTATCCCGACATGGTAAGTATTTGGACGTGCATGTAGTTTACCTTCAATAAACACCAAACTCTGATTTTATATGTTTCGTTATTTAAAAAACATAAATGATGTATCCTCTATATGTTAGTGACTTACTAATACTGGTATTTTCTTATTAATACCTTCCTCTTTCAATATTGGTAACCAGATCCTACGACATTCTGCCGAGGAATTTGCGACACAATTGGTCTCATTTAGCATAATAAGAGCTGCTTCTTTGATTTTTCTTTTTTTACCATCAGTTTCTTTTAGGACTACATTTGAATTATTCCATTGAATCCTATGTTCATTATCCCATGCGTGTTTACATATTTGAGATCTATCAAATTCTCTATTTTTAATATAAGATTGATGTTCACTTATTCACTTAATTGGAGATTAGGTATTTTCTCCATCTTCCTCACTTTCGTCACTGAAGATAATACGCTCCGCCGGCGGATTTATTACTTTCGCGATAATTTTACTATCCGTCGGAAGATCACAAATAATGACGTCATAATCAATGACAATGAATTTAGCAAACTCTCAATCAGTATTTAGTTGGGTTAGTTCTTGACCTTGCTGTTGTAACCTCAACCACTCTGCTACAGGATATTCATCTTCTTCGTTGTCTACCTCAGTTTCTGTCGACCCCACACGACCGAAACATTTTGTAATGGATTTTTTATCTATGAGTGTCCATGCTTTGTGGATGAAATTTATGACATCTAATAAAGTAACAGAAGATTCACTACGGTTTTCCACATTTTTTTGGATTCGCTTAGATAAAAGTTTTCTGTAGTGAACTTTAAGAGACCTTATGATGCCCTGATACATCGGTTGCAGAACAGATGTGCAATTTGGGGGTAAAAAAAGAAATTTAATGTTTTTTAAATCGTTAACTTTTGGATAGCTGTAGAATTGTCAACAATTAAAAGAATCTTTCGATGTCTCAACTCTCTGTCCCACTTCAAAAGTTCTCCACTAAAAATCTCTGCTGTCATCCACGATTTTTTATTAAAATTATATGCCACAGAAAGCTGATTCTCACCACTGAGACATCGTAGTTTTTGAGATTTCCCAATGAAGACTAACTTGCCACCTATACAACGCTTATTTTTTAATTTGAGGGTCATACCTGGAGTAAGTTTAAAAAAAATCCCAGCTCGTCGGCATTGAAAACATAATCGTCACTGTAATTTTGGCTTATTTTAAGCCATGACTTTAACAAGTTGTCGGTGATTTCTTTGAAAACACTCTTCGGGTCGCCGCAAATTTTTCCACACGTAATTTCGTGCCTCCCTTAAAACGGCTCATCCACCCATTCGATGCTTTAAAATTCTCATCACCACCTAGCGCCTAAAATACATTTTGGAGACGGCTATCGCCGTATTTCCTTTCTCCTCCACCAATCCTCCCGGTCCAAGGCATGCTGCTACTCATCCAAACCGCTCGATTCCATTGCTCTTTTAACTCATTCATTCCATGAGCGTCGAGGTCTACCTCTTTTTCTTTTTCCAGGGGGCTTCCATCTGTAAAGTTTTTGGATTCAACGTTCTTCAGGCACTCTCAATAGGTGTTGAATAACATCCGTTATGCTGACGATACACTCATTATGGCTGAGAGTGAGACAGGCCTGCAGACGTTACTAATTACGAACGAAATGGTGTTGCAGAGAATGGGAAGAGACAGAGAACTTTTGACTACCATTAAAAAGCCAAAGACAGCATATTTGGGGCGTATACTCAGAAATGATAAGTACGAGTTATTGCAGCTCATTATGAAGGGTAAAATCGAAGGAAAAAGGGGCCCTGGTAGACGACAAATATCCTGGCTAAAAAACATTCGCGACTAGATACACAGACGCCCTTAAGAAAAGCAGAAGAGACGAATTTGCAATGGTTATAGCCTACCTTCATTAGTGGAGATGGGGGTATACATACACATGGGGGGACACATACCTACATTTGGGGTACAATGGTTTTATAGGGAAATCACACTGCAATGTATAATAGTTTGGATCTTTTTCTTTAATTTGGGAATAACATTCATTGTAGAATTGTGTTAAAATATCTTGTTTTGTGACACAAAAGATATCTGTACTAATATTTTTTATATCATATGGTACTCTTTATTCTCTCCCAATAGTCGTCAATCTATCTGCTACCTCATTACCTTTAATCCCCTAATGTCCAGGTACCCTTTCTATTCCTATTGAGAATCCCATATTAGCTTCTACTAATAGTTTTTCGGTCATTATGGTTATAATCCATTTGATCCCATTTAAGACTAGAAATTTTGGATAAAGCACTTTTTGAATCCACAAAGATAACTGCTTTCTTGATTTTCATGTCTCATTAGCAACAAGCTGACATTTTTACAAAGTCATTGTCAGAAGCTAAATTCACTTATTTTAGGGAACTTTTCATCTTTTCAATGTTATTCAGTTGTAATAGTTTTGTAGTCAAGCTAATATAGAATTGCAGAAGGTGTGGGTGTTACAATTCTATATTGGATTTTTATAGTATTAAGGGTTGACACTACTTGTGTATGACAAATGTGTCAACGAGTCAAAAAGAAGTTCATATTGTAACCAAGCATTATTATTATATTAAAAACGTTTATATTTCTCAACGTATTCTTTTAGTAGATTCTTTTCCACCATGCATTCCTAGAAAAACTATATTTTCATTTTTGTCAAAAGTAATTTGGGACTGAAATGTTGTAATACTGTAGGATATACGTGAAAGTCGTTGAAAAATCATTGCTTTCGTAATCTTGCCAATTGCTAGTAAACAAGTAGCAAAATATATTAATCCTTTAATGCATCCAGTAAACAATAACAATGCACCTAACTGCAAAAACCAAGTTGATAATCTCTGATTAACTAACCACGGAAAAAATGCACTCTGGTGTATAAATAGAGCAGAATTTCCCTTTAGCACCAGTTGTGGAGTAATCTACACTTTGACAATAGGCTCGTCAAATCTGCTTCAAAGGTAAAAATATTAACTTATTATAACTGGTAACTTGTTACTTTTTCTTTTATAAACTAATTATAACTGAAGTTTTATTGATATAACACTACTGGTCATTGGATTTATGTATATATTATATATAATACATTTTTGTGATAAAAGTATTGTTTGTTGTATGCGTTTAATTTATTTGTTAATTTACTTGGTAAGCTTCATTGTCTTCGCTATTGTCCAGTAAGATCTCAACCTAAATATACCAAAGGATTACCAAACTTTGCTCCGTCTTTTCAAGAGGCGTCCTACACTTTTTCTGCCTTTGATTTTTAATTTATTATTTATCTTTATAGGTCAATTTTTATTCATTCTTTTTTATTTTCTCATTAATAAAGAAAATATACTGTTTTTGTTTTGCTTTACTTGTCTTTATTTCTCTGTCTATTAAGTCCTATCATGTATGTATTATATTATATATATTTTATTCACTAGCTTGGATTCTAGAGTTATCTCGTTGTATATATTACATAAACGTTTAAATTCATACAACAAAGTAGGTTTGGCCATTGTCTTATTAATTTTTATCATTTTTTCCATTCTTGTCTTGTTCTGTGAATTATTCAGCGTATGCACTTAAACCTCTAAATTGGTTGATCGATGTCTATCTTTTTCGAAAAGTGGGTTACACCTTAGTAATTGAAAAGACCCATTTATTATAGTGTTCTTGATAATTGTTATTTTTCTTCTTATTAGCTATTTACCTTCGAATTTCGTAACTTTTGTCTTTTTTGTCGATATCTTCATATTGAAATTCTTACACACTCATTATAGTTTATAACTGGAACTTTGTAAATCACCTTTAAAATTTTGGATTATCAACTGATTATTGGGAAAAAGTTTTGTATTATTTTATGCTTCTTATGATGCTCTCAATATATAGTAAAAAGCGTTGGTGACATACTACAAGCTTTTTTAGTCTTAGGTTTCATTTTATTGGTTTTGTTTCGTTTTAAAACGTAATATATGTATGTGTGTACATATTTTTGATTATTTAAGTTTATTGGATATTAACTTTTCCATTATTTCAAATAGATTATTTCTATTGACATCATTAATGGCTTTTTCAACACTGCTGCCATTAGCTACGTTTCAGGAATTTTAGATTTCAACAAAAATGGCTTTATAGGACCTTATATTTTTAATTGGAACAAAAGACCTTCATACTATACACGTGTCAGATTTATCTGACCTGCTTCAATTGCTTTTGTTTTTTCCTTCTTCTTTTTATATAGGCTTGACTCTGTCTTTATTTGGCTTTTTTAATCATTCAATTAAATTGTTATGTTCTACTATTCTATTACTTCCCCAGTCGTGTATCTTCACGTCGTTGATGTATACGTCGTATATTTATACTTCTAGCTCTGTCACATTGTGTCTAACCATCAATTTTTCTAAGCGTTTTTATTTCTGCTTTTTCTAAAATCCTGTTTGTCCACTCTGTGTCAGGTCGTGTTTTGGCAGTATATGTGATTATGGGTCTGATGACTGATTTGTAAATTCTGCCTTTCGGTTTCTCTCCTGATATTTTTATTTCTTTATATTTGTTTCATTGCGGCTCTGTTTACTTTATTCACTTGATCTTTCACTTCTGTTTCGAGCTTTCAGTAGCTAGATAATGGGATGCCTAGATATTTAAACTCCGTCACTTGTTCTATTATGTGACCTTCCAGCTCAGGTTCCTTAAGTTAAACAATAATGGACTCAAGCTATCACCATGTCTTATATTTGATTGCATGTTGACTTACTTTGTTAGCTTGGTTCCTATTTTTATTCTTGTTTTGTGATCAGAGTTACTATCCTTTATTATCTTTGCTATAGTGGCTGTTGTAGTCTCTTTGTAGAAAAGTTCAATCACATCTTGTAGTCTAATACAGTCAAATGCTTTATTAAGGTAGATAAAACACATGAATGCAGGTGTATTAAATTCTACTGCTTTCTCTTCCATTTATCTTATTATGAATATCATATCGACGGTTGATCTGTTACACCGAAACTCTTGGTGCTCTTTGCACTTCTCAATTTGTTTCTCAGCAAGTATCTTAGTCAATAATTTTAAACTGGTGTCAAGCAACGGAATATTTCAGATAATAGATGGGTCATTTTTGTCCCCTTCATCGTTATACTTGATTTCCATTACTTTGGTATGCATTCCATTTCAAGGATCTTTTGGAATAGTTTCGTTTTCGTAATATTTTCTGTTAATGCTCTTCGTTCATATTTTAGTAGTTCATTCATAATAGTGTTTGGACCTGTTACTTTTTGGTTTTTTTAAACTTCTATATATTTTTTATCACCTCTTCTTCCGTTATTGTTACCAGCTCCTCTTCTGCCTTTCCAAATTTTTTCACCGTTTTCTCTTCGTTCTTGTGAAGCTGTTATATATATACTTTTTTCATCGTTCTCCTTGTATACTGTGGTATGTTGTTATACTCCTTAATAGCATTTTTCCTTTCCTTCAACATCTTCCACACTTTTCTATGTGCATCGCATAAATCACGATCCATTTTTGTGAAGTTAGACCAGTAATCCCTCCTTACATTTTTTATTTGCGAGTTGATATTATTCCGTGTGGTTACATAGTTTTTCATAGGCTAAAGTTTTAATTTCGTTCGTGAACCATGGTTTGATCTTCCATTCGCCATTTACATTAACATTCTGTGTTACCATGTTGTCTTTAGCAGTAATTATTCTCTCTTATTTGTTTATCCCAGAGTCTCTTTATTATTATTATTATTATTAGTCGGAGTTTATTAGTCTCTTTTATATGTTATTTTTCATTGTTTTCTATCTTTTATCTACACCATTTTTTTCTAATATCCCGTTTTCTTCAAATTTTTCTTTCAAACGTCTTGGATATAGCCATCGAATTGTTTCGTCTTCTAAGGTCTCGACATTTCCATATATTTTGGGGGTATTTTTTTAGTGGTATTTTTTATAAAGATTCTTTCCAAAACTATAATGTGCTCTGATTCTACGTTAGGTGATGTTATTGTTCTAATATCTTATACCTGTTTAGGGTGTATTTGCTTGTTCGTTATTATATAATATATAGTTGATTTATGTTCTTGGGTGTTTGTAAACGTATATTTGTGTTGTTGTTTATAAGGAAAGAATGTGTTATTTATTCTCAAGGTGTTTTGTGGACAGAAATTAATAAGAGCTTCTCCATTTCGCTTTATCGTCTCTTAGTTGAAACGTTGTTTTATTCCTTTTAATACTTTATTTCCTATTCTTGTGTTTAAGTCGCCTAATATTATGACTTTTTTATTAATAATAATGGTATTCATCTGATCTTGTAATATATTGTAGATGGCTTCAGTTACCTCTTCGGTCTTACTTTTATTTAAACCATAAACTGATATTAAATTTATTTTTTTTTCCATTTTGAGTGTCATTTTAAGCATTCTGTGGTTAATATATCGTACATCATCTATACTTTTTTCTAATTTCTCGTAGATTAAGTATCACAACTCCCTCGCTTGCATATTTTCCTTTTTTCTACTGTATACCAATACATAATTTGGATATTTTACCTTAGCTTTATTTTATCTCTGAAATTCCGCAGATATCGATTTTGTAGGTATCATTTGTCATTTGGTTTCGTCTGAAGCTTGTTGACCGGTTACTTGAGTACTGATTCATTTTTAAAGTGAATTAATATCCAAACTGCCAACGCTTGCGATATTTTTACTCATCTGTTTGTAGACATATAATATATTTCCTTGCGTTATCTAGTTCTTATTTCTACCATCTTCTTGATTCCACTAAGAATTTGTTGTAACATTCGCGTTGGTCATCATTGATTATTTATCTTTTCGACATGATCATACCATTTCAGCTTTTTGCATTTTGTTTGTCGATGTCTATGCCCATATGCTGCCTGATTTCAGTATCCCTTGCTTTATCTGTTCCAGTAATTTGGCAAAATATATGCCAAGACTTGTTTCTATTGCTTGTTTCTATTGCTTTTATTGTAGATGCGTCTTTTTATTTATTATCCAAAGTTCTGTACCAAATGAGCAATATTTTCTATGATATTTTTGTATATCCTAATTTTCGTGTTCCTAGTGATGTGGTTGTTTCGAAGTATACTATTCAGTTGTTAGCTGTATTTATATGCTTTACTCTTGGTGGTGTCTTAATTAGAGAATCTGTATTAATATCTAAATAGTCCTCTATTATTATCTGTATTGTACTAGATCTTTTCTTTTATGTAAAAACATGACGTATTGCACCTATTCTCCTGACAAATATTTCCTCTTTTCATTCTTTTTTTTATGTAGACCTGACTATTTTTATTTTTTAATATGCCTCCAGGTACATACGGGGTATATACATATTTCCTAGGTAGCAGTTAGAAAAAGTTTTCTACCCAATTTAAACATTCGTAATTTTTTTTTTATCAGGTTAAATCAATTTAAATGTTTTATATGGCCTAACTGTAAAAACTTACTGCCATAATATTGTTCGTGGATTGACAAATATTTAACTAGACTGTACAAACATCTTGTTTTACTTCCAACAGTATTTATTTAATAATGCTTGTACTCAATTTTTTCTAATGTTACAGATTAAACTTTGGTCAAGATGTCTTCCTCAAAAAAAAATTTGGTTGCCCTTTTCGATAGACCAAAGGAATTGGTTATTATGCCCAAAGGACCAGACAATGTTGTATTTGATGTTCCAGTTGATTATTTGGTAATTATTAAATATAAACTATTCTGTATATGTACAAAAAATTTGGTATATAATTTCACAAATTCTACCTTTCACTTTTCTTAAGTCTTGTTCTTGGACTATAATCTCCTAAATATATCACACCACTTACGAAGTACGATAAAGATAAAAGTTTTAGAGAACTTATTATAAAAGCCTTCAAAAATTTGATCTTAAAATAAATATAAATATGAATATTAAAACAAAACTGAAGAAAAAAATTGTGTTGCCACTCAGAACAAGGGTAATCATGTTTTTTTTGCAAATTTTTTCGCAACCAATTTTTTACCAATACGATAATGATTTTACTTTTATTACTAACATTTTTTAGCCAAAAAAATATCAGAACGTAGGAAATCAAATTTCCACTAGATTTGGTGGAGAAGCTACCGGTGGAAAAGTTGCTGTCAAGCAGATCTCCATTCCACCATTGGGAGAAATTCTGGACTTACAAAGAGATGAAAATTTCTCGCTATGGATTCCTAAACATAGAAGAATTGCTGGCCAACTAATCAATATCTACCTAGGTAGGAACATTAAAGCTAAAATTGAATATTTAAAATTATTATTACTTAAAACTACAAATATTTTCCTTATACAGTTTCTATATTTTTTAAATTGTGGTGAAAAATATGGTTTATAGTTTAAACCTTTATTTAGATTATTTATAAACCATATTTTTCAGTGCCTTAACTTTTAATAAAAAGTGGTCAAAAATTGACTAGATTTTTGGTTAATATCCATGTAAACCATACATATAATAGTCCAGGGTATGACGGTAAAAATAATAGAAAACATTTTTTTATATGCATCAATTTGCATGAAATTTTGACAGTATTTAAAAAATAGCTAAAAATCAAAATTGACCTAGCAATATGTGCTTTTTGTCTGGGGGTGGTTACCCCATCTCGTGGGTGAAAAAAGTTTGTTAAATAAAACATGGTAGTCGCTAGAATAGTAAATTTTAAGACAAAAATGTCTTTAAAGGTTATTTCTTTTTCTACTCCCACTTTTCCCATTACGAGTTCGCCGTTTTCGTCGTCCACAGCACTCTATTCTCCCAGTCTCCTTCTCTGAGGTCTCTATCTATCATAGCATTTCCGACGTATGTTTTTCATCTTGTAGCAGGTCTTCCTCTCCGTCTTCTTCCCGGCGGGTCCCAGTTTAATATTCTTTTCGGCCACATATGCTCTGGCATTCTTTGTACATGCTCGTACCACTGCAGCGCTTTGTTTTCCAACTTTTTTGTAATTTAGCAATCTACTTCCATTCTGTTCCATATTTCCTCCGTTCTTATTCTATCCACTCTTGTGATTTGTAGACATCTTCTCATAAAGTTCAGTTCAATTGTTCTCAGTTTATTTCGTATTGTTGTTGTCATTGGCTATAATTCCGCTCCATATAGTGTAATATTCATCAATATGCTTTGAAAGATCCTCTTTTTGTTTTCTTTGGTTAGAGTGTTGTTCCATATCACTTCATGAAGTGCTCTTGTGGCTTGTTTTCCTCGTGCTATTTTCATTTCTATATCTTTCATACAAGTACCATCTCGGCTAATCATTTACCCTAAATACTTAAAAGTCTTACAACTCTTAATAGTCTCTTCTCCTAAACTTAAGTTCAAATTTGTAACCTCGGGTCCAATACATAAGTATTTGGTCTTGCACATATTTATCTTGAGTCCCCAAAGTTCGTATTCTTCCTTTAAGTTCCTTATCATATATTTCATATCCTCCATGTCTTGTGCAAAAATGACTTGATCATCTGCGAAAAGTAGTGAATGTAATATATTTTCTTGTACTGGTATGCCCATTGTTCCGCATTTTCTATACCATCTTTTCAAAGCCTGATCTATAGATATATGTTAAAAAGTGTAGGTGAGAGATCACATCCCTGTTTGAGGCCTTTTGTTGCGGTGATTGTTTTTGTTATTTTATTACCTACCTTTATTTGCACTTGTGTTTCTTTATACTCTCTTTGTGTTATATTCACCCATTTCTCTCTAACGCGCATTCTTCTCATTGCTTCCCATAGTTGTTTCCTGGGCACGCTATCGTATGCTTTCTCTAAATCAATAAAGGTCATATGTGTTTCAATGTTTTTTCTTTGTTCTTTTCAATCACCTGTCTCATAATAAATATATTATCTAAACATGATCTGGTTTTTCAGAATCCGGCTTGTTCTTCGCTAGAATGGTCCATGTGTTGTTCTAGTTTTTCTTTTATAACTGATGAAAAGATTCTTGCTATTGAAGGCATTACACTGATCCCTCTGTAGTTATTTGGTGCCCTTTTGTCACCTTTTTTGAAAATGGACATTCGTATAAAGGATACTATCCTTGCGCCTCAATATTTCAGCAGTTCCATTTTTATGTTCCCTGGTCCTGGTGCTTTATTGTTCTTGGATTTCTTTAGTGCTTTATTTATATCTTCCTCTGTGATTTCTGCTTCTTCAGTTATTATTGTCACACGGTCGTATGAGATATACTCCGGCCTATTCTCCTGCAATAATTTTGTGTAATGCTTTGTCCACTCTTTTGATGTAATTATCTGTATGGTATTTTTACTTCGTTTACTACTTCTTATGTTTTTTTATTTTTTTCCATGCTTCCGTTAATCTGTTATACCCTATCGTGTTGTCTATGTCTCTGCACATTCTCTCCCAGTATTCTTTTTTCTCGAGCTTTATTCTTTGTTTAACTTGTTGTCTGATATATTCTCCCCGTGTTCCTGAGGTTCTGTCGTTTAGCCATTCAAAAGTTATTTCGAAAAGTCAATATTTTTGGAGTTATTCGTGACAGAATATTCACAAATTACACGTAAAATTTGCATGTTTTTAAACGGTTTTTGGCGAATAGTTTCAAAAATTTAAGTTGTATCATAAAAACTGTTTAAATATACAATGAAGCTTATAAAACAAAGCGATTTGTTTTTATTCTTATCGTAAACTTAATAAAGATTAACAAAAAGTTATGGCTGTTCGAAAGTAAACTTTTTTTTTATCGAATGCAAAAATCCAAACATAGGATATTGAATAACCAGAAAAAGATTTTTTATGCAAAACTTTAAAAACTACTAAAGAACCACAAAGCTTTATTATCATTATATAGTCTGAGAATGACATACATATAAATTGCATGACAAGTTGCAATTAGTAATTAGATACAAATAAACTGTTGTTGCTATAATTAAAATATGATAAAATAAAATTATCTTTTGTAGATACTATTTATTTAATTAAAGTCATTTTCCCTACTTTTTATCTCTTGTTTCGAATGGGCTCTTTTGGTCAATTACGTTAAAAAACATTAATTTAATTCATGCCTGTGGAAACGAAAATACAAATTATACAACCCTGAATCATGCTTGTGTGTGTCGTGGCATCGCCGCGCTTCTTTCGTCCATAAGAAATACATGGCCCTATCTCCGCAATGTTATTTTCTTAACGTGGAACGCTTAGACGTTTAATTAGATTAAAAGGTTTCTTCTTCTCCTTTCAGTGCCCTGTCCGATTATCGAACGTTGGCAATAATAACCTTATTCATGGCGGCTCTAAATAAATTAAAGGTGGTTTCTTGATACCATTCTCGGAGATTTCGTAGGCAGGATAATCTTCGTCGGCCTGCGCCTCTCCTTCCGTCGATCTTACCCTGTATTATGAGGTGTAGAAGGTTATACCTCTCTGGATGTCTCATTACATGACCAAAATATTGTAACTTCCGAATTTTTATCGTTTTTGTTATTTCTGTGCTCTTTTTCATTCGATGTAAAACTATTTCATTTCTTATTCGATCAACCCAACTTATCTGCAATACTCGTCGATAAATCCACATCTCAAAGGCGTCTAATTTTTTTTATTAATGTCTCTGTAAGGGTCCAGCTCTTTATACCATCCAGCAATGTGGAGAATATGTAGCAGCGTATTAATCTGATTTTAAGATTTAACGTAATACCTCTATTAATTAGAATTTTCTTTAATTTATATAAGGTTCAGTTAATTTAAAAGGTTTTAGAAATTTAAAAGGTTTAGTTTTGCAAAAATCCGAGTTTAAAATGAATAGCTACACACTTTTCGAAATTTCCTAAAAAATCACTTTTTTAAATAATTCCATTAAAAAAATAAAGAAAAAATGCCAGAATACAAACAAAACAGGTTTTTTTACTGAAGAAAGGCCTGAAGATAGTGCAAAACGCATGCAATTACAACATTCAAACAAGTATATTATAAACAAATAGTTTCAGTTTAATGAGCTTAACTTAAATGTTGATAAAACAAAATATATGCCATTAATATCGTATGTAAGTAACCTCCCATATTTTGGCCCAGTAACACTAGAAGGACGGCTGAAGCTACCTACCTCCAAGGACGGCTGAAGCTATTACCTGTAAGGACGGCGGTGGTCAATTTGAACATTTCTTGCTTTCGGGGTGTTCCAATTAACTAAAAATTTTGAGAAACAGATTTATTGAAAAAATACATAAAAGACTCATAAAGAACATTTTGTTTATAAATTAGTAAAGTATTATTTACATGCACTATAAGCATTGATTACATACAATTGTTTCTGTTCTTGGACACTTGCCACAAATTCTTTTTTTACAGTTGTCACACAAATCACTGGTCTTGTTTTAAAAATATGATGTTTTGCACTTTTTTCTTTCTCTCTTTCTATTTTCTCTAGAATTGGATGTGCTCAATACGTTTTCTTGATTTGCCGATGACGCTCTGTTCGTCAGGCCTCAGATAGTTAGTTCTTCTACGAGATCCAATACATTATAGACAAAACAATACGAGAACAAAATCCAATACATTATAAAAAACTTGCAACGGCCATCGTCTTGAACTTGCTTTTACAGTATACTTCTTTGCCATTTGATCGACAACATCGAGACCAAATTTAGTTTGATTACAAAATTTTATAATTTTCGGCTTTTTCTTTCCTGTTTCTTCGACTGCTACTGAGAGTGACGTGTTAAAAATAAAATAACGTTTTTATTTGCTTTGCTTTGGTAACCAATTGCAATGCAGTTTTTATGCTTAGCTTTTGTTAAAAACAGCTCACTCTTCTTATTTTTTTAACGATTTTGCTACTTCTCTTCGAATTATATTGACTGTTTCTACAATTATTGTATTATTTTGTTCGAGCTTTTGAGCAAGATGGATAGAAGGGTTTCATTAGTTTCAACACTACATGGTCAGAAAGTCTTTCATTTGAGAGACGAGTGTCATCTTCCTAAATACGTAAAACGATTGAGGAGATAACGAGAATGTACATCTACAGCCAAACAGAACTTGATACCAAACTTAACGGATTTCTTAGCCATGAATTGTGTAAATTTTCACCTCGCCTTTATTGGAAAAAGTTGTTCATCAATTATTATTTTTTCGTTAGGTATAAAACATGATTGAAAAAACTTTAAAATAAATCGCTCCCAAAACCTCTGAAATTAGATAAAATTTATTTCCCTGAACTCTTTGGCGTCTGGTTAACCGGATGTAAAAAAGTATAAATCACATTATTTGTAAA